ATTAGAATTGGAAGAGGGGGGAAAAGAGCAGGGGGGAGGGGAGGGAAGGGAGAGGAGAGAAAAATAAAGGGGGTAAGAGGGGAGGTAGAATGGGTGAGGGAAAGAGCGCAGTAAAACTGTCAACAAACAAAAGTTATAGAATGCCACATCTAAAATGAAGGCGGTCCAGCCGGGGAAATTTGTAGTTCAGCTATCACAAGGTTTCCAGTCATGGAGGGGAATCCGATTAGAAATCAATGGGTATGTGAATATGAATTATCTCTTTTCCACATGAAACAACGTAAGTAGGGTAAATAGGGGGCTCACAAGCACTGGAAATTCCCAGTCTGCCACCCTAGACATCCGAGCTGAACAATATGGAATCCAAGTATCCCAGATATTATAAAATGTTATCATATCTATCCTTGCAAGTGGCAACCCATTGCTCAGATTCCATAATGTCCAACACTACTTTAACCCATTCCTCCTTGGTGGGGACAGAGATGTTTTTCCAATGCAGTGGGATCAAGCGTTTAGCAGCTTAAGTGAGTTAAGTGAGGGAGAGAACTTTATCTATATCAAGACATGAAGGTGGTACAGTATGCAGTAAGAAGGGGGCCGGGAGAAGTGGCAACCGGATCCTCGGGATATGTTCGATCTGGTCCCTGACATCATGCCAGAACGGTCTAATTTTGAGGCATTCTCACCACACATGTAGTTGGGTACGGACCATTCCATAAACACGATTTGGGACAGGGTGACAAATATACAGGGCTTGAAAAATATGATAGTGTCTCACCAGTCAGTCAAAAATTTCACCAGTCAGCATGACCGGACTATAGCCTTGCAATTTATGTTAAAAAAGTTTGGGGACAGATAGAGCTTTCTTTTGAAGGTATATAATCACCACGGGGGGTATTTTTTTTTACTATATAATTTAAAAAGTACCATAAGTGTAAAAAAACCAAAAAAGTTTCACTACGTTATGTTATAAAACATTTATTCTTACCCATATTTTTAGTAAAACATAAAAGTCAGGGTCACATCGGGTAAATAGACACCACACGTCAAGCCTTAAATTGCGTGCGCCCGCAAAAAAATCGCAAAATACGCCCATAGGAGACGATTAAAATGTTTTTACTGTTCATCAGTTTAGTGTTATCAGTGATTAAAGGAGAACTATGGGGTTAGGGCTTTTCCCCATAGTTTTCCTTAGGGTAACGGCAGGACACAAACTAGCGTCCTCCCATCACCCCAAGCTCAGTATACCGCGAGCTGCAGCTCGCGGTGTACTGAGACGCCGCAGCTGAAGCGGATCCCGACAATTATGTCTGGATCCGAAATATATAACAATGTAAAACATATATATATATATATTTTTCTATTTTTAATGTATTATTTTTGTAACACTGTTTTAATGCAGTAACATACAATTTTACAGATGAAGACTGCCAACTTCGGGTTACAGTGGCATCTGCAGGCTGAAGGATTGTTTTCTCAATGAAGCCTCCAGCCTGCATGCTATCGCCATGTCAGAGCGCACAGAGATTACAAGAACGTGAGCCAATCGGATTCGTGTCGGATCATTAGCGGGGACCTGAGATGTTAGTGACAGCTGGGAATGATGAACATTAGCACCAAAAAGTGTTGGCTGGTGGCACTCAAAAGAACATCGATTAACGTATCCCCAGCACAAAGCATCGTGTTGGGGAATCTTTATATACAGATTTTGGAGAGGAGGGGTAAAAAAGGTCATAAAAATATAAAAGTAGATTTTATTAGGGGGCCTGTCCATTTACCATCAATTTAAAAAGGGATGGAAACAAGGATGGGTGCATAAGCCACTACAAAACATTAGTAAGCAGGAGGAATGAACTGTAAGGTACCTGTGGAAGGTAGAGTCCGAAGTGGCGCAAGGCTGAGGTTTAGGTTAGGCGGTGTCAGGCAGGCAGAGTCAGCAACAAACTGGCAATCAGGTACAAAATCAGGATCCAGGAAAGTAGTCGAGAAACAGGCCGAGGTCTAACATGAACAGGCAGCGATGTTCAAAATCCGAAGGCAGAAGAATAGTCAGGAAACAGGCCAAGTCTTAATAATATCCAGCGATCCAACAGCAGCATATACAGGAACAAACCCAAATAAACAGGCTCAGAGCACAGGAAATGCTCATTATTTGAAGGCTGGGCTGATTACAGATTGACTGCAGCTGGTAACTAGGTGGAGCTAGAGAGCCCAGAGGAAAACTACTGTTAATTATCTGTAGGGAGAACTGAGTCAGCCTGGTGGCTCAAAGGCAATGCTACAAGGCCACCACCTCAGAGACCTAGGTTCAATTCCTCACTGCTACAACACGGGAGGTGGGCAGGCAGGCAGGCACCTGACATGAAAAGACAATGATATTGGTCACTGGCCCCCAGTGGTAACAGGGCCTGTTATTAGGGATGCAAAATACCAGGTCTTACAGAGATGTAGAATGTATGTGCATTCTTATTAAGCTGGAAGGAAAGTCCATAAAATATATAAACAGACCAGGGCCCAAAAGTATACTAATCTGGGGAGTTAATAAAGTGAACATGTGACTTGCCTCTACTGACCTTTGCTCCATTGCTGCTCTGTTTGACCTTTGAAAGCGGAGATGATGCCCTGTGCAAGCTCCAAGTCATGACTCAGCTCCCTGACTCCATGTTACAGCACTGGGTCCCCTCATATAACCCTCATAATTGTACCAGAACACTGACCATTATTATCAGAACACAACATCCCTGACCCAGCACTTGGACAATTTCAGCAATCAGAATTTTAGCTCCCCCTTTAATGCACCATCAGCTAAGCCGTGTTATTTTCCATAGGCCCGTTTAGACTTCACAGAAAGCTTTAGCCCACATGACAGCGTGGAAATCAGAACAGTTGTGTTCCTGAAGAGTCCAAATTATTAATACCTCTCCCATAGCCTAAGACTTCCAGGGCACGTTTATACTTTTTATAACTCCGTGTGCAACCAATCCTGTTCATATGTTATTTTAACTGTAAGGCAAGGTATTGGAGTTATAAGTGATCCAACTTTTTGGAGTCTCAATTATGTGCAGTGATAAAAAAAAAAAAAAAAAAAAAAAAAAAAAAAAAAAAAAAACAAACAAAAAAAAACAA